GAAAGGCGGCGGCGGGGGGAGTGGGGGCACGTCGTGGCCGAACGGGGTCCCTGGTGTCTTTGTCCTGAGCTGGGGGCGAGGGCCGGCGGCCTTAGGCCTTGGGGATCAGCACACCCTTGGCTTGGAGGAGGTGACCGGCCAGGGCTCCTGTCCCCAGGCTGGCACCACCGTGCGGTCACCTTTTTCTTCGCGCGTAGAAAATCCTCCCCAGCGCTAGCGTTGGGGCCGAGAGGGGCCGAGGCCACAGCCGGGCTGGTGTGCCCCCGCCCCATTTTCTACTGGAATTCTGACGTTGGGGCTGGAAGCAAGGGAAGGACAGACTTATAGACGGAGATCCGTCCCCGAGCGCGGGCAGGAAATGGGCGGGACCCGCTGGCCCGGGACAGGTGCGGCGCAGGCGGAGGCGTCTGACTGGTTTGCCCAGACCCGGCCCCTTCCCCGCTGTCACCCCACCCTCCGCCCTGAGGTGAGGCCTCGAGACCCAGGCACCTGTACCCTGAAAGGTTTCGGCTTTGAATAAGTCTTTTCCCACAGTACTAGAAGCCACTTCAAGGTGGCAGCCACACCGGCCACACTCTCTGACCCTAGACCTTAAATTTAGAGTCACCTGGGGTCATCTGATAATGGAAAGTTTTCAGAATGGAGAGGAGGTGATAGGTCGACAGAATCTCATGGGGGTGGGAGGAGGGTGTAAGATGTGGGTCTCCCCCGTGGCTGAGACCTGGGCCCGCTGCTGATCCTTGCTCGGTGGAGGGCGGGAGGCTGTCTCCGTGGGAGTAAGGGTCTCTCACCCTGACCCGAAGACTCACCCTGCCTGCTGAGTCAGAGCCCCATGATGTGAGGCTAGACTGGGCCCAGCATCCTCTCTCCCTAGGGCTCTGTGGACTTGTGGACATCCCTCAGAGGCTTTGTCCGTCCATTCGTTCATTCTTGATATTCCTGGGCACACTTCCTGTGCACCAAGGCCTGTGCGAGGGCTTGGGAGGGGCCTGTGCAGGCGTCTGCCCTTCTCCAACCCGCATCAGCAACCAGCCCCGAAACGATGGTAAAACTGAGACATGATGCGTGTCATGAGGTTCGTGGGGGAAGAGAGAGCTCGAGGGGCCACCGTGGGTCCACGAGCAGCGCTGCAGCCTGTGCACCTGTGCTGAGCAGCCATACCAGCTGGGCAGTTGCCAGACGCGGGAGCCATCCTGGGCCAGGGCACCTGTGGGAGGTGGGGGAGCAGGAATCCAGGTGTCGACTTGCCCTGAGTTCAGGCTTCTTGTCAAGAAGTCACAACCGGTGAGCACTGCTGGGCAGGGCCATGGCTGCAGAGGGTGCAGTTTACTATGGCGGGCAGGGCGCTCACCCGGGGGGCTCCCCACCCCCTGGGGCTTCCCAGGACACTGGGCCAATGTTTTCCACAGGCAGGTCCCGTGTGCGCACCCTGGTTTGGTGTGGCACGTGCTAGCCCAAGGCAAGGGGGAGGGCAGGGTTGTCCCAGGATCGCCCCACCCCACCTGTAAGGTTTAGGGTCCCTGGTGCGGATGTCCTCTCTCTAATGTAAGCAGAATCCAGCCCGCTTCCCAGAGCATGGGCTGCGGACTCAGGAGGGAAGGGTGTTCCAGCTCATCTTCAGGCTGGGTGGGGTCCTCATGACAGCTCTTGACGCTTTCTTCTGCCTTCAGGGGCTGGGGAATCCCCCACTGGAACTGTGGTTCCCTGCTCTGTGGAGGGAGCTAGGCTGAGCAGGGAGAGGCGCCTCTGGCTCTGCCCCCACCATCTGACCTGGCGCCCCTGCTCCACAGCCACTGCCCACTTCAGCTTCTGCCGGACCCTCCTGGAGCACACAGTGTCCGCCGAGAGCATCCCCTGCCACCTGCCTAGGACACCAGGCACCAGCCTCACGTGGCATGACTCACGCAGCCAGAGGGCAGCTGGCAGCCGGCCAGTCAAGCTCCTGCAGCAGCCTGGCACTGAGGGCCCCCAGGTACCCAGCCACCATCCCCACCTCAGCCCCTGCCCTCCCACCACTCACTCCACCTGCTACCCCTCTCCCCTGCAGGGCCGGCTGCACTCTGACCACTGTGGCCTGTACCACACGAGTCCCTCACTGGGTGGCCTGACGAGGCCTGTGGTCCTGTGGAGTCAGCAGGACGTCTGCAAGTGGCTCAAGAAGCACTGTCCCCACAACTACCTCGTCTACGTGGAGGCCTTTTCCCAGCACGCCATCACCGGTGCTGTGGGGCCGGCGGCAGGGGACTGACTGTATGGGCTGGGGGCTGAGTGGGCTGGCGGGGCACAGGGACCACAGGGGAGCCTGTTCCTTTCTGTCCTGCTCCCCTCTTTCCTGTTTCCTACTGAGTCACCCTCTCCTTCCGGTCTGTGTCTCCGCGGAATCTGCCAGCGTCTCTCCCAGTCTGTCTCTCTGTTTCCATCTGACCCCTCTCCTCACTCTCTGTCCGTCCTGTCTTTCCCCTGCCTCTCTCCCCGTGTCTCTAAATCTGTGTCTCTGTCTCCCTGCCACCCCCATTTCCTTCCTCTCTCTCTGACTTTGAGTCTCTGCGTGTGTGTGCCCCCCCACCTTGGCTTCCGATGCCATCGGATGCTGACCTCGGCCTGACCCCCTTCCCCTCTCTCCCAGGCCGGGCACTGCTGCGGCTGAACGCGGAGAAGCTGCAGCGCATGGGGCTGGCGCAGGAGGCACAGCGGCAGGAGGTGTTGCAGCAGGTGCTGCGCCTGCAGGTGCGCGAGGAGGGGCGGAGCCTGCAGCTGCTCAGCCAAGGTCAGTGGGTGGAGCCCGGAGAGCCAGAGAGGCCTGGGAGGCGGGGCTGGGCTTCAAAGCCCCAAAGTGTAGTGTGGGTGGGTGGATCGCAGGAGGGGGGCTGTGGGATCCCAGTAAGGGCCACTCTGCACCCGTGGCGGAGTGGATGATGCCAGAGACCCCCACTCCTCACCCACAGCTTCCTTCGGAAACATGTCCTAGTCGCTGCCTGAGCTTGAACCCCAGACCCAAGCACTGTGACCGGAGCCTGTGGCAAGGATGAGGTAGAACTGGCCACGCGGCCCCTCTTGGACCCTGTAGGTGTCCCCAGGGGCCAATCCTGGCCCAGTAGACAGGTGGGACCACAATTGCCACCTCCAGCCACCTCTGGTTGTGCACTCTGGGCTATGCCTGGGACTGGACGTGTGGGGGCTGCTTGGGGTGTGCCCCCCCCAGTACCTGAACCGAAGCCCACCCCTGGTGCTGCAGGCAGCATGCGGGCAGCCACCGGAGCCAGAGTGGGGCTTGGGTGTTCCCCAAACTCCCAGGGAGTGTTTATTTATATTCTCGTCACCCACGTTGAAGTCTGTCCCTCCTTGCTGGCTGAGTCACGTGTTCTTTGGGCATCCTGCCCTCTCCAGGGCGAGAGGCCTGTCTGCCCACTCGTCCAGTTCAACACCCTCCCTCAGCACCTAGAGGACTGCCCGGAGGTGGAAAGACTGCCAAGGCTCCTGTGCCCGTCCCCTGCCCCCAACCAGGTCCGGTAGGCCCAACCCATGGCCCAGATGATGGTCATCAGTGTCCGGCTGGCCAGGCACCCTGCCCAGCACCTTCGCCCATTTATGACACCCCCACCACGCCCCCATCCATTCATGGGAACTGAGGTGAGGCAGGTCTGGGACTGGCCATGCGGCAGGACCTAACATGGCACTACGAGAACCCGACACCCAGCACCCTGCCCCGGGCTCAGTGGAGTCCTGGCCTCAGGCTTGGGACAGCTGTCCTCCTCTTGGGGTCATGGAGACCATCCTGGAGGCACAGCAACGGGCAGGTACTCCTGCCGCCCCTTTCCCAGGAAAACCTGGCTCACACAGGGGACTGTCCTGGGCTGCATCACCCACGTCACTCACCAGAGATCCTGCCACCCACCGGCACCTGAACTGCCACTCAGTGGGCCTGAGGGCCCGAGGTTCAGGGCTGGTGCTGCCCAGTAGAAGGACAATGAGGGCAGTCCCGCAGCCTCCTCCCACTTGGTCCTCTTCCCTCCCACTCCCCGAGGGGACTCAGCACTCAGGGACAGATGGGGCTGAGCCCTGGCCCCTCTCTGTGCCCTGCGCTGGCTTCCGGACAGGTTGGTTGGTGTAGGTCTCGAGTGGAATTTGGACAACTGGCTTGGTGTCCCCCATCCCGCGTGCCCCCATGGGAAGCCACCTTGTCCTGTCTGGCTGCCCTAAGTGTCCCCACCACCTCGTGCCCTCACGGTGTCACCCTTTCCAGGGGCCTCTTCCCAACTCTGCCCCCCCCGCCTTGTCTTGCCTCTCTACCCACCACCCCAAGCTCGTCTTGTCTTCCTTGTTTTGCGTTCACTTTTTTACATTCTGATAAAAAGGCCAGAAATAAACCTGGTTCTCAAGTGCCCCAGTGTGGTGTCCGGCTCCAGTCAACCTGCGTGTGGCGGTGGGCACAGCTCTGGGACTGGGGGCGGGCTCCCCTGGCCCAGCTGCCTCCAGCCAGGGCCACCAGGGGGCAGTGATGTTGCATTCGGGCTGGGTGCTCGCTGTCTCCACCAGCACCCCAGGATGAGGGGGCGGGGCAAGAGGCGGAGACCGAAGCTGCGGGCTCAGACCGCGCCGACTGCCCCGACTGCCCGGGATGCAGCGCGATAGGGTCCCCGCTGCTGTAACGAATGATGACAGCACGGAGGCTTGACACGAGAGTTCTCTCACAGTTCTGCAGGCCGCACGCCTGAAATCCAGCAGGACCACGCTTCATGTCCAGGGGAGACCCCTTCTTCGCCTCTCCCAGATCTAGTGACTGCCTGGGGACTCCTGAGCTCACAGACTACCACCCCCCCAGGACACGCGTCACATCACCATCGGTCTGTCTCAAGTCTCCCTCTTGCAAGGACACTCGTCACTGGATTTAGGGCCCACCGGGATAGTCCAGGATCATCGCCTTAATTGCATCTGCAGAGACCCTTTCTTCAAATAAGGTCCATTCGCGGGGCCTGGGGTTGGATGTAGCTGTCTTTCGGGCACCCCATTCAGCTCCACCACAGGGCAGTGCCCTGCACAAGAAACACACAGGTCGGAGCACAAACGGTAACAGAGGCCTGAACTACCCGCTGCAGTCCGAACACACAGACACAATGACACCGGCACCCAGACCCACGACGGCACCCCAACACACCATGACTTTCTAACACAGAGACACATGGGCCGCGCCACCCCCTGCACACGGACGCACGATACTGCATGATGCCCTGGCCTCCAAATGTGCTGCAGTTTGGACACACATCTGAGGTCCTGGCATGCCCCCATGCCTTGTGTCCAGTCACCTGGTCACTGACATACAGAAGGACACCTTCTCACCTAGTACAGGACACAAACATGCCCCGACACTGTGATCTCCAAACGGGACACATGGTCACTCAGACACACACCTACCAGCATTGACATCATATACACAGACGTGCAGCCTTACGAGGGGAAAGCTGACAACCCTGGATGCGCCTCAGGGCACATGCGCTGACCCCTCCCGAAATCCTGCATGTCTTGTCCCTGGAGTGAGCACTGTCAGTGAGGAAGGGACATGCCCTCTTCCTTGAGGTGTCACACAGGACTCTGGCTCTGATTTCCAATGGAAGGACTGACCAAATGACCCTTCCACAGACGGCCTCCACCTTGCCTCTGTGTGAGCACTTTGTGCTGGCCTTGAGAGAAGCAGATCCCAAGGGTCTCTGTGAGACGAGACGGCCCCCAAACCTGCCACATTTTTGTAAGGCAGAGCCTGCCCCAAGGTGGACAGAGGGGGTGGGGTGTGGGGTGATGGGGTGAGTGGGGGTGAGAAAGGCCGCAGGAAAGGAGGTGCACCCCAGAATCCGCTTCCCCACTGGCACGCCTTCCCCTGCTTCATTCCCGTGCCCTGGTGGAACCGGCGCCCATCACGCCAGACCTGATCCAGGGGCCCCGCAGAGGGCCAGGCTCTGGCGCACAGAGGAGCGAGGCGCCAGCCGCTGGCCTAGGAACGCGGTTCCCCTCAGAGAGAGGTTGGTCCGTTGGTCGGTAACCCCAGTAAAGCGACCCCTTGAGGGAGGTCCACAGGCAGAGGCGGTCACAGGGCTACTAAAAGGGAAGCGGGACGCTGCTTTACGGGCCCAAGTCCCCCCAGGGCCAGGAGTTCAGGGTCCGGGAGAACAGTGGCCGCACCTTCCCCGGGCCAGGGCCTACAGGCGCCCAGTAGCTTCAATCCGAGAGCGCTGAGCTTGGGGCAAGGCTCTGCGCCCCTATGCTGCCTCAATTTACCCCACTGCCTGTAAAGGCCCTCGCCCTATGGGCCGCGTAACCGGTCACTTTGCACTGGAAGACGGGCGGATGAACGCGACGGACTCGGGAGCCCCGCAAGCGGGGCGGCCCGACGGGCCCCCTCCCCCTGACCGGTCTCTCCCCGCCGCGGAGCGGTCGCAAGAATACCGCGAGAGTTCGCCCCCTCCCCCCCCACAGTAAAACTGTCAAAGGTGGGAGGGGCGGGAGCGCGCATGTGCGCAGCGCGGCGCAGCCTGCG